AGAGACAGGCAGAGGGGGAGAGGGGGAAGAGAGAGACAGAGACAGAGATAATGAGAGACACAGAGAGAGACTGAGAGACAGAGACAGAGAGACAGAGACAGAGAGAGACAGAGGGGGAGAGAGAGACAGAGAGACAGAGAGAGACAGATGGATAGATGGGGGATGAATGGGTGGATGGAAGAAAGGTGAGAGAGAGGGAGACTGAGAGAGACAGAGACAGAGAGACAGAGACAGACAGAGACTGAGAGAGACAGAGAGAGACAGAGAGACAGAGAAAGAGAGGAGAGTGAGGCAGACAGAGACAGAGAGGAGAGAGACAGAGACACACACAGAGAGACAGAGAGAGACAGAGAGACAGAGAGGATAGCTGGATGGATGACAGGATGGAGTGGATGGATAGACAAATGAAAAATGAACAAATGGGTGGGTGGAAGAAAAGGAAGGAAGGAAGGAAGGAAGGAAGGAAGGAAGAAAGAAAGAAAGAAAGAAAGAAAGAAAGAAAGAAAGAAAGAAAGAAAGAAGTTGGTGAATGAGTGAGAACTGTGGATTCGTGGATAAATGAATGGGTGGGTGGGTGGGCTGATGGCTTGTGGAAGATGGTGGCCTAGGCCCAGCAGCCTTGTTCCCTGTGTGGCCACAAATATGTCACTGTTCCTTTCTGAGTCCCATGCTGCTCATCTGGAAAGTGGCACCTCCCTCCCCCCGCTGCGCATGGCCTAGGAGCCCTCAGCTGTGGGGTAGAGGCCCGTGTCCCTTAGGCGCCCCCTCTCAGGGGACAAGCGTGGGGGCCTCCTATGTGGTCAGCTGTTGGTCTCACAGGGGTGGAAGCAGGGCTGGAGCAGCCGGATGTCCCCAGGCCCTGTGACAAGAAAGCAGGCCTTGGGCTCGTAATGTGGGTGCCACCTGGGCCCAAGGGGTGAGGATGGGGCTGAGTGGCGGCCCAGCCTGATCCTGCGGCAAGCCTGGGGCAGAACAGGGTTGCTTCTGCCTGACCCAGCCCTGGAGACAGCCAGCTGGGGGCCGAGGCCAAGGAAGAAGCTGGGCCCGCGGACCCTCGGCTGCCTGGGCCTCTACCACACAGCCTGGCATCCTGGAAGCAGCTCACCCAAAGGGACCCTCAGTGCCCAGTGGCAGCACCTTAGACCACAACCTTTCCTTTCCTAACTGTCCAGCTGGAAGACAGGCCAGACAGGGCTGGGGTTTCCTATACTGCCCCCTTTGGCTCGGCATGGGCCCGCTGGGCTGGAGGATGTGGAGGTGGACTTGGGTTTCCTGATGGGAAAGCCAGGGTCCATGCCATCTGGTAGCACTGTCCTGAACAGTGGTAGAGAGGGAGAAGGTGACCAGGACCCAGGGCTCACCGACTGCCCAGCCTGGTGCTCAAGGGCACGACCACAAAGCAGGCTTCTAAGTTGCCCAGGCTGGCCTTAAAATTGTGATCCTCCTGCCTCAGCCTACAGAGGGGCTGGAGCTGTAGGTGTGATCTACAGGTCGGGTCTGTTTCAAATCTTGCACTGGCCTGACACTCCCTCCAAGCCTTGTAATCAGTGTTTCTGCCGTGATGCGAGTCCCTCTCACTCCTCCAGAGTCCTGGGGCCGGGGAGATGGCTCAGTAGAATAAGTGCTTGCCTGGCAAGCGCAAGGGCCTGAGTTCAATCCCCGGTTCAAAAAAAAAGTACAAATAGTCCTCCTCCAGAGTCCTGTGTGCGGTGCACATTCGGGGGACATTGCCTACATAGTGCTCCCTGTGGGGTGCAGCCATGCACCAAGCAGAGCCCCAAAGCCTGGTCCACACCTGGTACCCCAAGCCTCCCTCCCCGCCTGTGTACCCCAAGGCCCGGCCACACCCTTCCCGGAGATCAGCCTCCCACACAGCACCTACTGAGCTCATGCTGGCCGGGGCGGTTGGAGAACTCGATGACCAGCAGGTCCTTGCCCTCGAAGCTGCGCCCGATGCTGTAGGTCTTGGCCACCTGGGAGCAGCGGGCCGCAGTCCGCTTCAGCACTCGTACCATCTGGGCATAGGAGTGGTGGGCAAAGCGGATGAAGGTGGGTGGCAGGCCTGAGGGCAGCGCCTCCTCTGGCTCGAGGTCTCCTGTGGATAGGTCCCATCACCAATGGCTCACAGTCTCCCCACCAGCCTCCCCAGCTGCTGTTGGGGGCTGGACACCCAGCCTCTCCCACGCCAGGACAGCCGCCGCCCTGCAGCGCCCAGGGAGTGGACCGTGGCGCCCTGTGTGGCTCTGCTGGCCTGCGGCGTTTCCATTACAACTCCCCTTGTAGAGCTCCTAACAACAGTGACAGCCCGTGACTCTGCCCAAGAGACACAGGGCACCATGACGCTGGCACAGTCCTCAGCGCCACAGGACAGAGGCGTAAGAGGACCTCTGGAATCCCAGCATGTGTGAAGATGCATCTGCATAACCTCCACCCCAGAAACCTGCAGACCGCCTCTGGCTGGGCTGTTCTCTGCCACTACCAGCTGCTGTGACTGTGGCCCCTCATGGCTCCTGTGTGCCTACTGGGCATCCAGTGCAGGCGGCCCCAGACCCAGGGCGGGCATGGCAGGAGCAGCTCTGGGTGGCCCCTCCCACCTCTACTGCACTGGCGTGGGGCCCAGACCTTCCCTGCCACTGCCAGGAACAGAGGGCAGGGCCGGCTGGCCCGAGCCACACCCTGCAGCCTTCCCTGGGGACTGTCCTGTGCCCCAGTGACCTCATCCACAGCCGCCAGGGACCACAGAGTTAACGTGTTTCCCTGGGCCACTCACAGAGCTGTGGTTTTGCTTCTGCTCAACGTGGTCATTGAGGGCAGGAAACAGGGAACCAGAGCTGCCCAAAATAACCATTCAAACCACTGCTTGGGCTTTCCCAGGCTGCGGGCTTGGTGTGGAGATGTCTGGCCCCCTTCCTGACCTTGCTGGCCGCCTCCTCACTCCCCGAAGCCTGTCACCGCCCAACTATCCCCAGCCCCGCCAAGGCCAGGCAGCCTCTATCCTGGCGCTCAAGGCTCTCAGTGCCAGAATCAGCCCCCACCAGCCCAGAGCCCCTCCCAGGAACAGGCCTGCGGCCCCGCCCCTGGCCACCTTCCACGGCCTGGTACAAAGGTGTACACAGTAGATGCTCAGTGCTGTCTGAAGAACAGGTACCTGGCCCGCACCCAGGGGGCTGGCCTGGGTCCCTGCAGAGGCGCACCCTGCGCCATGTTCCCGCCCAGAACCCCACTTCCCATCTAGAGCAGGAGGCTCATTCTGTAACACCACAGGACCCTGTGGCCTGGCCACGGGTGGCTGCTGCCCCACACCATCTGTACAGCTCACATCCATTAACGTGACATGAAATGAACACACCAAGCCAGCTTCCAGGAGCAGAGGACCCTGGTGGCAGGAGTTGGCCCTGCTGGTCTCCCTTTCCCTACCACAGCCTTGGGGTGACTGCAGACAAGCCCCAGGCAGGGCCTGCTCCCCTGGAGCACCTCCACAGGCCCCTCATGCCCTGACGCCTGCCCGCCCCGCTGGTTTGCAGGAGCTGCGATGCGATGCACCCCGGACCACGCCTCACCACGAAGCCCCTCCAGGGGGTCAAAGCAGCCCTCCTCCTCAGGCGCAAAGTAGTGGGCACAGTCCAGAAAGTAGGGCCAGGCCATGTCGATGGCATCGAAGGCGGGCTGGCAGGCCTCCTGCAGGCCCTGGCACACGTGCCGGCAGGGTCTCTGCACCAGGCCGCCCTCACAGCGGGGGGCCAGCACAGCGCAGCCCAGGAGCCGCAGGTCGGGGTTGCACTGGCCCTCCAAGAGGTGGTGCAGCACGCTCAGGAGGATGTACTCTGAGCTGGCCTCCACCGCCTCGCGCGACCGGTGCTCCAGCGCCGTGGGGAAGGTGGTACGGTTGTAGGTGGTATCTGCACAGGTGGTGAGCTGCAGGTCCACACAGGTGGCTGGGAGGAAGCGGGGCGCACGGGTCACGCTTGGCCTGTGCCTGAGTGGACCCCATCTAGGACTAGGGCTATGGGGTCAGGGTACCCACATCCATGGGGAGAGGGCTGGGCCCGTGGGAGGACAGTGCTCTTGCCACAGTTGAGGGCTCAAATGTCCCCCAAAGTCTCCCGTGTCCAGAGCCAGAGTGCCCAGAAGGTGACAGGGTCGCAGGGGCTCTAACTTCACCAGGAAGTCCTTCCAGGGGCCCTCGCTGGTGGCATTGTTGGCAGATGCCGGGAGCAGGGTGGGCCTAACTGCAGGGAGTGGGCGTGGGCGTGCCGGGACTCCAGCCCTTCCTCCGGAGCCTGCCCCTCCGGCTCCACTCCCCAGCCACCGGCCACCGGCCACGTGCTGGGAGCAGCTGTCCTCCACACCCTCTGCCCTGATGCTCCTCCCTCGGCTTGGGCCTAAACAGCAGGGCCAGCCGCCGTGGATGGGACCTGTGGAGCCATGACCAGAATAAACCGTGCTCCTCTACACTGCCTTTCTCAGGTGCTTCCTCACAGCCGCAGATCGTAGGTGGCACAGCTCCTAGGGCTGGCTGTACAATCCTGAAGCAGGGCGTTCCGCAGACACACCCTGCTCGGCCAGGCAGCATCCCCCCAGGAGGGGCCGGCCGTCAGTGGCCAGGCCGGGCTCACCCAGGCTGAGAGCTGCGTGGACAGCTGTGTATCACAAGACGCTTGGAGGCCAGGCGGAGCAGGCAGCGTCCTGTGCTGCGGACACCTCTGTGCTCACGGTTCCAGCAGTGTTCTCTTTACCCAGGTCCCCACCTATGCCCCTGCCCCTCTCCTCGGCAGCAGATAGCACAGATGTGGCAAGTGGCATGTGGCCTGAGACGCTGCCACTCTTCCACATCAAACCTGGGGAAGGAAGGGCTGTTTCTGCTCTGCTTTTTTCTGCTCAGTGCCGGGTCTTGGCAGTGACTTTGGGCATGGGAAGCCTCTCCTAGCTGCTGCAGCCCTAGCTCCTTAGGGCAGAAAGCACTGGAGGCCCGAACGGAGGGGGCGTCTCTGCCTGTCTCGGGGAAGCAGACTTAACCTCTGCCCTGCCCTGAGCTTTTCAGACACGTAAGTTTTAAAATCATCCTGTGATATTCCTCAACCTTTCCTCATTTCACAGAGGAAACTGGGACCCGGGGTGGGACCCACCCACGCCCATGGGCTCAGCTGGGGCTGCAGCCCTGGGAACTGGAGCACAGGGTGGGGAAGCGTGTGTGTTAGTGTGCACACAGCAGGGTTCAGCCTCTCACATCCCACCCCAGAAAGCGGGTATCAGGATGAAGCGAAGGGTGCTGCTCAGTCCCCAGAGCAGCCGAGGGGAGGAGGGGGCCGGCAGTAGGCAGAGGGAGGAGGGGGCAGCCCGCGGGTGCTCGTTGGCAAGCCCGTGCCTGGGGCCTGTCTGTTGTGCCCGCCAGCTGCGGGACCAGGGGCTGAGCTGAGGGGCAGGTCCTGCTGTTTACCACCCACTCCAGGAACTGTGGGCTCAGCTTTCAACCGGAGGCTGCGGCACACCTACAAACCCAACCAAGGAGTCCAGGTACGAACCGCTGTCAGCAGCTGCCGGCCCATGGCAGTCACCTGCAGAGAAAAGCACCGTGTTAGGGACGCCTGCCGTGGGCGGCACTGCAGGCTGCTCGGGCACACTGGGCTGGTGCACTGCCCCCCCCCCGGCTGCATCACGTGCTGTCCTCGTCTCAGCGCTTGGGGCGGAGGTGGCAGGCACCCACTCTGGGTGAGGACTGTCTGCAAGGTAATGTGATGTGCCTAAGGGTGGGCATTTGTTGGCAGTGTGGGTCCGAGGGCATCGCTTTCGCCTCGAAGCCTGGACCGGCCAGTGGGGTGAGTGGACCTGCTATGCAGGACACACTTGTCCAGGCCTGTCCATCTCCCATGGGCACCCCTAGTGTCAGCCGCCTAGCACAGAGTCCCAACAGGGTCCTGGGGCCCAGTAGCTGTCTGGGCACTGTAGGCTCTGACCACACTTCACTCAAACCCCCTCCAAGGCCCAGCAGGGCCCAGGCTGCACACCCTGGGACACGCAGCCAGGGTGGGGTGGAGTCTCACCCATGCGGAAGCTGGGGCCCCCTCCACTTCACAGAGCATCACTCACAAAGCTGTCTTTGCAGCTGTGGGGTTTTAGGGCCCCCAAAGCCCAGCTGCACGGACCCAGCAGTAAGGCCCAGAGGGCCGAGTGAGACCTGCGTTAGCCAACACTACCTGCTAAGGCTGGTAGGGTCTGGGGCTAGGAAGACTCTGCTGAGGACAGTGAGGAGCAGCCCAGGACAGCCCCAACTTGGGAGAAGATGCTGTGTCCCCATGGCAGAGGGCTGCCCTGTCCTAACCACGCCATCAGTCAGCTCACAGGTCCTCACAGGATGGGACATGGACACTGTGCCTCTGCCCTAGGACAGGCCTGCCACCATGGGCCTGATGAGACCCACACAGGGCCTGGGCAGTGCATGCCTGGGTGTGAGCTCGGCCCATGGGAGACGCCTGCCACCCTGGACCCAGCTGTTCTCCTTGTCCCAGGAGTGAGGCCGAGTGGGTGTGGCCCTGACCCCTGCTCTGTGCTCAACCCACTCTCGCAGCAGGCGCCTCGGACAAGTCTCACTCTTGCTGAGTTTTCAGCTTACCAGGGGTTTGTATTCGGCACGTTTGGGGTTACTACAAAGGGCCCAAGGGCACCCACATTCAGTGCCTGGGCACCATGTTCCATGGCTGTAGGGCCTGTGTGGCGGCTGCCCAGGATGGGCCAGGGAGCAGGAGTGCCTGCCTTGGCGTGTGGGGCGACAGCATCCGTGTGATGGTCTGGCCCAGGCCCCAACCTCCCACTGGCACCTGGACCTCAGGGCAGCTGTAATGAGGTCAGCAGGCTGAGAGACCCATCCAGGTGGAGCCCCAGGTGCCGCTGCCCACGGGGCTGGCGTGATGACTGTGTGCAGTGCTGGGCGTAAGCACCATCCGTGGCATACCAGTGAGAGCCTGTGAGGCCGCAGTGCGAAGTGCGCTCACACCAGAGCCCACGCCTGCCGGTGCCTTGCCGAGCTCAGGTGAGGGCGGCATGTAGCCCAGCGGTGGACACTGCGCAGTTCAGCAAGTGGAAGGGCCACCTAGACCCTGCCCCTAGGCCTCTGCTGCCCCAGAGAAGCCTGAGGTGAGGCCACCAGGAGCCACACACCCACTTCCGAAGGCAGTGAGCTCCCTGGGAGGGCACACAGGGACAGAAAGCCTGGGGAAGCTGAGCCGGGGCAAGTCCTGCTGTGTGCCTCAGTTTCCCTGCCTTACCCTGAGGCAGCAAGGGAGCTCCCGTGCAAGGCTGAGGACCCAGCCATCTTGTATATGGGCAGCACCTGGTGCCGTTCTAGTGCCCAACATGCTCCTTCCTGGTTCCAAGGTGACCGCTACCCACTTCGGGTGTCCACCATGCGTAAGATGGACAGGCAGGGGCTGAAGGAACAGCCTCCACTCACAGCTCTGGGCCAGGAGCTGGGAGCCACGGAGTGCGCAGGGCCCTTCCCTCTGGGGCCCCTTGCCTGGGTCTGTGTCCTGGGTCTGCCCAGTGTGAGTGTGTGACTTCTCCCCATGCGTCTGGCCTTCCAAGGACACCAGCCGTGGGTCTCGGGCCCAGCCTGATCCACGCCACTCTTCTCTTGATTGTGACTTCCAAGCAACATGGCACACGTGGGTCCCAGGTCAACCTGTAAGTGTCTTTCGTGGCAGACATGTCCGTCACAAGTGGTGGGCCCAGAGTGCCACTCTCGGCACAGCGGTCAGGATGGTGGGGGCCCAGCGTGCCACACACTGGCAGGGACCACCGTGCCAGCAATAACAAAGCTGCGCCGAGGCCACTAGTTGGTCTCTCTGGGCCTCTCTTCTGTCCACAAAGCAAGGGACAGGTCCCCCACTGCTGTCCACTCCCAGCCCCACGGAGCTGCTTCAGGGTGGCACCTGGACCCCAGCACTGCAACCTGGGGAACACAGAGGCAGGAGGCTGGGTCCCGGAAGGGTCCAAAGCCACTGGCTACTGTCAGCTGCCCATGTACCACGCATGTCGCGGGAGGGGGCTTGAGATGCATCCAGGCGAAGCTAATACTTGCTGTAAAACTGCACTAAAAACCAAAAGCCAAGTATCTCATTAAGAGTTGTGCACTGGCCACAAAACACTGGATGGCACTCTGGATGAACTGGGCTAACATGTCGCTGTTAAAATGAATGCAGCCTGGTCCCTGTTGGCCAGCAAGGCCGGCATGCCTTCCCATTTCCGGTGGACAGTGCCCATCTGAAGCGGCTTGAGTCCGGGATGACGGTGACGCCCTTGGCCACGAGGTGGCAGCATCTCCCCACCCAGGGGCCGGTGGCTGCTCCTGGAAGCCGAGTGCGGCGGGAGAGGGCTGTGGTCTTCTCCAGGTCACACAGCAGGGTCGAGTTGCCGGTCCCGAACCCGGCCAGGCTCTGGCCTGCACACTGAGCCTGACCTTCCGGCTCAGGGAAAGGCGGGACCCTGGGGCAAGGGAGACCCGCAGCTGGGCCCTCCTGGAGCCACGGAGGTGAAGGAGGAGGGAGCCCACACAGCGGCCAGGTCTGGAGGGTGGGGGTGGGGGCTTCCTGGAGGAGGTGTGGACACTCCCTGGGAGCTCAGGGGCGCAGGGAGGGTCAAGGACAGCCCTCGGGGCCCCTGGCTGCCTGCTTTTGTCTGCACATGCAGAAGGGAGCAGAGGGAAGTTTGGGGTGCAGGCGGGGGTGGGGAGGAGAGTGTCTTGGTGAGAGAATGAGATGCGGTGGGCAGGTTCTCAGGTGTCCACAAATCTGACTGGGGCCTCAGCCCCCAGGGGCCAGCCCTCCAGGAGCACCGGTGTCTGTGTGGACAAGGACACCGTCCCTGGGCCAGGCACACCATGGGCAGAAAAACCGAGACCAGCTCCTGGGTACAGGAGGGCCAGGACTCGGGACCCTGCTGTGCAGATCTTGTCAGCGAGGCCACTGGGAGGGACACTGGTCCCGGTCCCTCTGGTCGTCCAGCCCCAGACCCATGCAGGATCCAGCCTACCCCTCATTCACCCCCTGCCCCCTGCCCGATGACAACACTGGTCCACATCCCAGCCAGGGTCCACAGCGCCAGACCCAACCCCACTCCTGGAAAGCAAGGATGGGGCCACGGGGCCTCCTGACCCGCACAGTCCTGGCACCTGTCGGGAGGCAGCCTGCAGCCCACTGCACCCCTCCTGTGCCCACACAGCTGGAGACCTGCCCCGCGCCCTGCTACCCCAGCCCCAGCTCTCTCCCCTCCCCAGGGAGTCCCCATCCCGTGCACTTAGACCAGAGTCCCTCCTGTGGACCAGGGTCCCTGGGGCGCATTCTGGGGACCTCTGCCTGGCTGGGATCAGTTGCGTGACCCAGGGAACAGAGCTCCTGGCTGGCTGTGCGCTCGGCCCAGGAAGGGGACAGCAGACCTTACCAGTGGCAGCCAGTGCGACCAGCACGGCAAGCGGCAGCGGCAGCATGGTGGGCGCGGTGATGTGGCACTGGGCTCCCGCCCCGGCTCAAGGGGGGGGGGGCACCGGCCGCATGGCCGCGCGGGAGTCGGGTTACAGGGGCAGAGTCAGAAACCCAGAAAGGATGCGGCTGGGGGAGGAGCAGATAAACAGGCAGCCCCCACTCCCAGGGGAGACCCGCCCCCTCCAGGGAAGCGGCCCCTCCCCCCACCGGGACCAGCTCCAAATGCCTGCGCCCTGGTTCCTGGACAGGACAAAGGTGGGGGGCGCAGGGTCCTGTCCCAGCGTTGACCTGGCTAGCAGGGAGGCAGGCCAGGCCACCCGTGTGGGCCTCGGTCAGGTGGGGGAAGGGACAAGGGTTTTGCACTGTGGACCCACTCGGAAAGTCCTGTGAGGGTCAGAGGTGGGACGCCTCTCTGCCTCCCCTTCCCTAGAGCAGGGATCAAAGGTGCAGTCCCGGGCTGCTTAGGTAAGCCGTGGGGACCAGGAGTGGGCTGGCTGAGCACCTGGCCTGCACCTGTGCCCCACTCAGGCAGGTCTGAGCCTTCCAGGACCAAGAAGCTCAGCCGCCACACACTGGAGCCGTGGGCAGCCCAGGCTGGGCTTATTTGGATTGATTGATTGGCTGGTTGGTTGATTGACTGATGGGCTGGGACTCAAGGACTCACATATGCCAGGCAAGTGCTGTGGCCCTAAGCCACACCCTAGCTCCTGGTTTCATTTTTAAAGCTTCTTGGCCGTACACCTATAGGTGTTATTATCCCTGAGAATAATTTATTTTATTTGAATTGCACATTATGATTCACAAAACATTTCTCTTTTTTTAGAAAAAGGGGGGGGGCTGGGGAGATGGCTCAGTAGAATAAGTGCTTGTCTGACAAGCACAAGGGCCTGAATTCAACCCCCAGTTCTGCCAAAAAAAAAAAGAAAGAAATCTTTTTTTCTTTACTTTTTTTTTTTAAGCATAGGGGGTAACACTAAAGATTGAATCCAGAGACTCTGCACTGAGATAGATCCCTAGACTTTTTTATTTTGAGACAGGGTCTCCTTAAGTCACTGAAACAACTAGGTTGGAATGGAATTTGTGGTCCTCCTGCCTCAGCCTGCACAGAGCTGGGAGCTCAGGCACGCACCATGATCAAGCTGTGGCCATCTCTGCAGAAGCGTCTTTCCAGAGGAGGGCAGCCGCACAGCCTGGCTGTACGGGGAAGACTCCATCCGGCTGCCTCCACCGGACTCTGCCTGTAAGAAACACACCCGTGGGTGCCACTGTGTGCAGAGCCGTAGAAGGTCACAGTGCCCGAGAGGAGCATCCGGGACCGTGGCGTCCCTGTGTGGGCTCAGGTGGGAGGTGAGACGTGCCACACGCTCAGGTAGCTTTTGTGCCACAGATCCCAGGGGTGAGGCCTGATGGGAGCCCATCCCCTGGGCTGGGGCCGGTGGCCACCTGAGTTCTGCAGAGATGGCCTGGCACTGAGAGAGCGAGGACAGTGGAAGCGAGGGGGTGAGGGGCCTTCGCCTGCTCTGGCCTCACTGGTGCACGCGGGTCATGCTCCACCGAGCCTCCATGTGGCAGACACTGCTGTGTCCCGAAGTTCTTGGACAGGGTCCCGGGGGACACTGAGTGACCTGGAAGCAAGGGGTGGACCATGTGGCGGCGGGGTTCATCCCTGCGCTGCAGCCTGCAGTGCTGCCCCTCCCTGGCTCTCCACGGCCGCCCACGCTGCAACACTGCCTGCTCTTTCCCACCCGCACTGCCTGCCTCCGGGCTAAGAGCCCTTTGCAATAGAAACCCTCGTCTTTGCTGCAGCCAGCTTTCCCGTCCCTGGGACACAGTGCTCAGCACCCACAGCTCGGAGGAGGGGAAGTTTATTTGGCTTATGGTTGCAGGGGGCTCAGTCCACCAGCTGCTGGTGCCAGGAAGGCACGTCCCAGTGGAAAAAGGCACGTCCCAGTGGGGAAAAGCTGCTTAGTCCACAGTGGCTGGGAAGCAGAGCCCAGGGGCAGAGGGCTGGAGGGGAGGGGGCCTCCCAGGGCTCCCCTTGCTGGCTCATGCAGATACCCCAGAGAGTGCTCCTCCTAGCCCCAGGCAGATCCCAAAGCTTATGTGGGCCCCAGCGGGACCAACCCAGAACTCAGCATACAGCAGGACCCACGAATGCTTAGTGTGAGACGAGGCGTGAGTGACCTGAGCGACACACGACACAGACGTCCCCTGGGATCCGCACCCCCACGCGGGGCTCCAGCAGCAGGCCACAGGGTGGGCGCATGGTGATCTGGGAACCGTGCAGCACGGCGGGCCTCAGGCTGCTTGGGATTCCTCCTCTGTCACGCGTGCACTTGTGCAGACACACACGCTTGCCATACACACTCAGGCTGTTGCACATTACGTGAAAATAGAAGTGCGAGCCATAAAGAAAGCACCCGGGCAGCCGCGTGGCACTGCAGCAGCGTGAGCTGTGGCGGCAGCAGGTGGCCTGGGGGCCGCTCCTTGAGGACATGGCAACGCGGCAGACCACACAGCAGCGCCTGCAGGGTGGGGCGGCCACCACTGCCCAGCCACCCGCTGGTGGCTTGCTGGGGTCAGCTCCAGTCAGGCTGGCACGACAGGGACGCACGACAGGGACGCACAGCTTCCTGGAGGCCTAGAGCCAGGCCAGGCCCCAGGCGGGCGGCGCACGGAATGCAGTGGCGGCCGTGCAGGTTCTGGGGCTTGAGCCAGGGCACCTAGGGTGTAGGGTGCTGTCCGGGGTGCTGACTGTGGTCACCTCCCTGGCCATGGACCACCTGCCCTGAGACTCCCATTGCTGAAGCCAGGCTGGAGGGCGTGGAGTGCAGGCGAGAGCCTCTTTGCTGCCACCTTGTCTTTTTGCCCTCCTTGTGACACGGGCAGAGGGAGCTCAGCACCCCTCTTCTAACCACATCAGGGCCTGTAATGGCCACTTCCTGTCCTGATGGTGACTCACACAGCCAGCAAGTTCCTTGCACAGGGATGCCCCAGCCTCCACCCAAGCCAGGCTTCTGCACTGGCACCAAACTACAGTGTTGGGGTGGTGGAGAGGGACAGGGTAGGGCTGGGCTGTAGGGCCTCACCACGCCACCCCAGCGCAAAGCCAGGAATGGGACCAAGTTTGCCATACCTGGAAGGGCAACAAGAAGGGAAATTAGCTTGGGGGAAAGCAGGGAAGGAGCAAGGGGAGAGAGGAGAGGGACAGCAAATAGAGAGGAGAGGACAGGAGAGGGACAGCAAGAAGAGAGGAAAGGAGACAACAGGTGAGGAGAGGACAGGACAGGAGAGGGACAGTGAGAGGAGAGGAAAGGGGAGGAGAAGAGAGGGGAGGAGAGGAGAGGGACAACAAAAGAGAGGAGAGGAGAGGGGAGGGGAGGGGAGGGGAGAGAAGGGAAGGGGGGGAAGAGAAGCAGAGAAGCAAGAGGGACAGAGTGGAAAGGGGCCAGAGGACCCACCATGCAGGGGCAGGACACAGGCGACTCCCAGGCCACAGCACTGCCCTCCCCTGGCCCAGCGCCCTGGGTGAGCGGTGTGTGTCCCTCCCCACCCCAAGTCTGCTTCTGTGCCTGGGTGCTTAGTCACCAGGGGACTTGATCACTGCCAAGTCCTTCAGCACCCAGCAGGCAGGACAAGGAAGAGAAGGTGGCCAGAGGTCGCTGGTGGCAGGAAGCTTCCTGTCATTCCTGCCCTGGTGGCAGCCTTCATCCCATGCCCAGCCCATCTGCAAGTGCTGCCCACCTTGCCCTTCCTTAGGCTCTCTGTGGGCCTCCCTGGGGCAGCACCACATGGCTGGAGAGAAGGCAGGTGGCCAGGGCGGCAGTGCACTGGACGCCCCTCCTGGCCCTGAGCTCCTGGCAGCCTTCCTGGGCCTCATTTCCTCGTCTGTGAAATGGGGCTTCTAACTGGGACATCCTCAGAAGGAAGAGCCCCCCAAGTCTCTGCCAGGGCTGCATGAATAAGTCTGGGGTGCTGGGGATCAAATCAGGACTTCTGGCTGCAACCCCTATGTCCTTGTCCTGCAGAGAGGCTACCAGGACAGCCCCAATGACCTCTGTCCATCAAGGGTGGCAGCCACTTCCCTCCCAGCCCACGCCTAGCCCAGCCAGCTGCTTTCAAGCCCACACGAGTTTTCGCTGTGGCCACATCGTCTGAAGCCAGGGTGGCAGAGCCCAAGTCCTCCTGGGAGGAAGAGACAGTGCTACAGCCCCGTGGGCAGGCGGGCGAGGTCACAGGACTCTCCTGGACACAGAAGGTGGCTGTGACAGAGGGGCTTGAGAGGACCCCAGCCCCTCAAGGGCTGCAGAGACAGAGTGCAGCTCTGGGGAGGTGACTTCCCGCCGCTCCTGTCACCTCTAAATGGCTCTAGGTCTCCCTCGGTGCTTACACTGTGCATGACACAGCAGACCAGGGACGCAGCAAGGTCTGATGGCCACACTTGAGGGCAGCAGGGAGATGCAGACAAGGGCCAGGCCGAGCGCCCTCCCTCCTGTCCTGTGGGAAACAGTGACCTTCCTGGGAAGGCCGAGGGGTTTCCAGGAGGGCAAGCTCAAATGCTATTTCTCGGGCCACCTTGTTTCCAAGACACACACTGCTATGTGAGACCACGAAGCCCAGCAGGTGCCCAGGTCTCCCCCGGCTGGGCAGTGGCCAGAGGAGCAGGGCCATTCACCGAGGGGACAGGCTTCTGGCATCCCAGGCGAGAAGCACCCGGGGCTCTGCCTGGAGCAGAGCAGCCACAGATTGAGCAGGCAGGAGCCACCACGGGGGAAGTACAGGAAGGGCCCCACCCTGGGGCCTTCAGAGATGAGGTGACCTGCAGACACTGCGACTGTGGACAGTGTGAAGACTGTAGGACAGGAACGTGGGGCCTGGCTTGGCAAGGTGGGCTGGGGCGGGCTACCAAGCGATGGTCACCTTTTTTTTTTTTTTTTTAAACAAGGATCAAACTCAGGACCTTATGCTTGCCAGGCAGGCCTTTGTGCCACTGAGCTATTTCCCGAGTCCCTCAATGGTCACCTTTTATCTCCTCTGGAATGTCCAAGAAACATTCCCAGCCCTCTACCAAAAATGGTATTTGGCCCTAACAATGATTTACTGACTGGCAGTTTCTTCTACATGTCCCCAGAGCCTCCTGCACCCGTAGGCAGGAGTTGGGAAGACAATGGGTCATGTGGCTCATAGTTGGCTGCTGCTAGGAGGTGGGGCCTGGTGAGAAAAATGGTCCTGGCGCGGGGCCTGGAGGGCCCACCGCCCCCTTCCCGCTCTGCTTCCTGTTCCCCATGCCGTGAGCTGCCTGCCTTGCCATCCTGCCTTGGAACCAGCTGAATATGGACTGGAACTTCTACAAACTGTGACCCAAATAACTTTTCTTCTTAAAATTGTGCCCTCTGAAGCCCAGCAACAGTAAGACACTGGGTGTCCACCCTGTGCTGGGTGGGGGCAGGGGGAGAAAGTGGCTGAGGTGTGGTCAGACCCAAGGGCATGCTGCAAGGACTCGGGGAGGGAGCAGAGAGAAGGGGCACAGGGAGGCAGGGGAGGGGTGGCAGGAAGCAGGCAAGGGAGGGGAGACCTGGGCGCTGGGCTGGGGAGTGGAATGGGAGGGGGCAGGGGCCGAGCGCAGCACAGGGACTGCTTTGCCCAGCAGTCATGGCTGAAGCTAGCGGGGCACCCAGGCTGGGCCTGTGTTCTAGCTTAGCTCTGACGCGTTCCCTAAGGGCTCAAGTGGGTGGACGGGGACTGGGCCATGGGGTACTGTGCTCACCCGTTCATCCGTGCCTCGTGCTTCGAGGTGGGGCCTGGTTGGAGGAGGCCCCAGAGCGGTGACCTGGAAGGGTGCCTTTGTCCCCCGCTCCTCCCATCGCACTGTCACCTGCCTGCCGCCAGGTGAGCTGCCCTCCCCGGCCAGATCCTCCCCCATGCCATCCCTGCTGTGGAGCCAGCAGCCCATGGACCCAATTCCCCTAATCCATGGGCCAAAGTAGACCTCTCCCCCTCGAAGCTCTGGGGTCATGTATCTTGTCCCACCAATGGAGAAGTCTGAGGCCACCTGTCTCAGTAGCTGCCACAAGCTAGCTGGCCCTGGGGGATGGTGGGCTTCCCTGTCCCGGGGACTGATGACGCTATGCCCATGCATGAGGAGGGGCCAGGAGCTGCACCTTCACGTGTATCTGGGGCCACACAGGACACCATGCAGGCCACGACATGGTTGTATGCGGTACCTGCTCAGCCGGTGGTGGCAGCTGTGGCAGTGGGAGCCCTGGGGGCCCCTAATACCAGGAGGGACCATCCTGAAGCCCTGGAAAGGACCTCCCTTCTCCCCAGGAGGCCTGGAGATGCGCAGCCCAAGACTAAAGTCCCCAGGAACCCAAATTACCAGGGCCTCATAAGAGGAGCTCAGGCGCCCGAGCCTGCACGCTGTTTCTACACTCCAGGGCTTACCGCTGATGAAAGCTGATCCTCCCCTAGAGCCTGAAAACCCCCGACGGGCGGGCCCTGCTCAGGGCCTGGACCGGCCACTGGCTGCTGCCCACGCAGGGTAAATCGAGATCCCACTGCCAAGACTAGAAACAGTGCTGGGCATAGCAACAGCGCCTCCAGGGGCTGAAACGTGAGCAGATGCCCAGCCGTGCTGCGGGATCGCGCGCCAGCCTCTCCCAGCACTAGGTCTCACCGCCACGCACCACACGTCCAGGATGTGGTCCGATATGGCTTGGCCCGCAAAGAGCCAGGAAAGCTCAGCTCACACTGGCGAAGACAAGCAGCAGCCGCCAGCACCAGAGGGACAGCCATGTCGGCAGGTCTGGGGGGAAGTTAAAGCAAGCGCTATATTGCAAAAGGAGTCCAAGGAGAAATGGTGAGTGCTACTGAAACAAACGACAGGAAGTCTGCAAGGAGTGGAGGCTAAGAAGAGCTCACTGGAAAATACAGGGCTTTAAAATATGACGGCTACTGGCTCTCTCTGCATGGGCTCAGCAGCAGGAGGGACAGCAGAGGCACTCCTGAGCAGCATCAGAGACAGCAGTGCAAACTATCCGGTAGGAGAAGCAGAAGAGAGAAGGCGGACCCCGAACACAGGGCCAGCGGCGTCCCAGGTAAACACTGGAAGCTGGAGAGGAGCTTCCTCAGCTGGGAAAGGGCTCCTGACGTCCCCGTGCGCGTGGAGAGGCTGGGCATGTCCCCAAGGTCCGAGCAGACACATGAGCCCTGTCTCCACTTCCGCTCAGCATTGGGCTAGTCAGGCCATTAGGCAAGAAAAGGAGACAAAAGACTGCAGGCTGCAAAGGACAAAGAAAGTCGCTCTTGGTTTTCAAGTGGCACGGTGCTATATCTAGAAAACTGTAAAGAAGCCATAAAAACTGGAAGCTGTACTG